TTTTTCCTTTATTCTCATTCATTTATTTATGCTTCTTATATATATATATATATATATCATTATTTTCATATACCTTCATATCTTCAATTTTATTTTCCTTCATATTCTTATGATAGTAAATATTTATATTCAATCATAACAATCTATATTTATCCAATTTATCATCATGTATGAAATTGAATTTACATTGTCATACTCGTAATAATCTCCAAAAATAAATTAAAACAATTATATAAAATACTACCTTGAGAATTGAAATGAAAATACAATAAGGAAATTTAGCACAACTGTAATTATCCACTTTGGTTCTTTTAATTTCTTGATTCGTGGAAATAACTTTCTGCATTATAACCTAAAGACATACACAAACATATAGCTATTATCATCTTTTAATTTACACTATTATCATATAAATATTGCTTAAATAAATTCTTACCTTCGATCTTCTTTTTGGGATCGCTTCAGCTGTCACCTTTGTATATTTGGTTATCTTCTTCTCTTTCTCTTTGAATCAAGGCGCTCCCCCACCAGATTCCCCCTTTCTATTTATTAATCACTTATTATATTTACTAATTTGAGAAAATAGATAAAATAAAATATTAATAATTGAATGTAAATGAAAAATTATCTAATTTGATCCCAAAATTTCCTTCTTCTATCTCCCTTTAATAGAACTAATCTTTTCCTAGGATTAATCACGGAAGAAGAGAAACGCCAAAAGAGATAAATTGAAAAACTTACTTCTTTTTCTTAGTTGTCTCTGATGGCAGAACACCACTCTCTCTCGTTTTCTTCTACAAGAACGAGTGAAATGAAATTATCTTTTGCGATGAGTAGTTATTTTAATCCCACTTACGCGATCCTTCACTCAAAACCGCGAACCGAGCCCTCCAGACCCTACCCGCGTTCACGTTCACATTCAGCCTGCTCCAGTCGCAGTTTCGTAGTCTGTTTCGTACATGCTAGCCCGTTATTTATTAGAGGTTGGCTGGCCGGTTCTAAGTTCAACTAGTTCTTACAGTTTGAGACCACTTTTTATGTGTTTTGTTTATTTTTGGTGTGAAATAAAATGGTATAGTAAATACTAGCTATTTTTGTTTTTATTTTTATTGAAGATTTTCATGTGTTAATTTATTTTGTGATTTGGAAGAGGTTGGTGACATCATGTTCAAAGATATTGGTGGACCAGATGGATTTGTTGCAGGTTTCTACACGAAGTTGGTTGATGAGAGGTTTGGGGGCTAGCCAGTGTTGTGTGTGAGGTCAGGTGGATGGGAGTTTATGTTTTAGAAATAATGAAAATGCTTAGATTTTTTTTTTTTTTGCTTTTAAAAGCAACTTGATTTATTAAAAAAAATGCTTACGAAATAGTAATCATATTTTATTTGTCCAAAATATAAAAAATAAAATAAATAAAAAATGGAAATGAAAAGTGATGGCAAATAGGCCTTAGCAAGCAGTGATATTATTATTATTATTATTTTGAAATTTCCCAACACTTACATCCGTACTTCTCCATTTTAATCACCTGATTTTTATTCTAGAACTTATATTTTTATCTATATCCCCATTCTTCTATATAATAGGTATACGATATTTAAAATTATACTATTTTGTTGATACTTGATGTAGTTGTACTACTTTTCAAAATTTTTTGACCATTCCATAATTACTAGTATTAGTCATTAATAGTATATTTGGGTGTCAGTCTGAGAGGAAGTGGTTGTACTTTTCACAAAAATCAGTAGATGAAACATGAAAAATTGGGAAGAAAAACACCCCAAAATAATTTTTTTTGAAAGAATTATAAAGAGAAATGCAAGATACAATTAGATCTTCAATTGGAGAGGAAGATCCGACTCTCTCAAATTCCTAACCGTGGGCTAGAGCCGAAATAATCTAAGAATAAACTAAATTCAGCGAACTCCAAAACATAATTCTAAAATCACTCTATTGTTAGCCTTAAATAAGAGCCCATAATTCCCTCCTAAATCAGTCATCTTTCCAAAAATAATTTCCTCTCATATTTGAATTCAAATCAAATCTCATGCCCTAAATAATTCAATCATAATTATAATTAAAACATTCCTAAACAATTTCCCCTTGATTCCTCCTCCCTTTCCCTAAATAATATCCTCTTGGATTTTTTAATTCAAATTAAATCTCTTACCTAAAATAATTTCCTTACAATTGTAATTATAACTTTCCTAAGTAATTCCCCTTTGATCAAGAACCTTCATAAATAGCTTTCTTTTAAATAAAAAACTTTCTAATTCATTCCCAATCAAATCGGCCGGTCTATCAATACTCCCCTCCCAAAGTGCCACCTTATTTTCAAGTTGGAACGAAGGAAAATGCTGCGGAAGCATTGGACTAAAAAATGGACTATCACTGGGTCAAATGATCCCTGCCTCCAGCATCTCTTTAATCAACCTCTCAATCTCTTCTTTTTGGAGTTGGGGAGAATGGTACAGACGAGCACTGATATGTGAGACTCCTTCCTTCAAAATGATAACATGCTCGTGTTCTCACAGAGGAGGAAACCCCTAAACTGACTGGAACACCTTTCGATATTGCTGTAGGAGTGGCTGAATCATGTCTGTTGCTTCTATCTTCTCCCCATCTTCTTCTCATTTCAAATTTTACTGCTTCACCAAAAATCTCACTCCTTCACCCTTTCCCCTCTTGGATGTGGCTCCAAAGGTGGCATCTCTTCTTTCCCCCTCCCACAAAAACAAAACAAATTCACATTCTGATCTTCGGTTGTCCTAAGAGGTGGATCTTGATGAAAGGAGCTCTCTTTGTCGAGCTCTTCATGTACAATATTTTTCCCTTTAGATTCGACCAGGGGAATCCCAATAGAGTCTTGATTAGGGTTGGCAATTGGAACCATATGTGGGGTTTTGGATCAAAGCCCTACATGGGGTCCTTGTTGGGTACCCATGCTCTGCGTGGGCGGGCCTCGCCCACCCTTGGTGACTTTTAGGATGACGTACCCACCCAGACCCACGCACTTTCCATGCCTTTTGAATGTATTCTGTCACGGATTGATGGCCTTGAGGCTTGTTTCCCTTTGCTTTGACTGCAAACTTTCAAGCCACATTTCAGAATTTATCATGGTCGCAGCTCAGTTTAGGGTTGCACATTGCGTAGTGAGAATTGCGGTAACATACGACATATGGTGATTAGCAATGTAAATCATTTTATTATCCCCCGATGTTGAGTACCCACCCATGAGGCCATGGGTAGACCCATACCCGTACGTGGGTGGGTGTGGGTATATGTATCAAATGTAAGGCTCTATTTTGGATCACATCTCCATGAGCTTTATCATCATCTCCCCTAGAATTTTCTTTCCTTTTGTTTCAGCCCGAGGAATCGCCGACGAAGCCTTCGACTACATCTCGATCATCTTCTTCATCATATCCTCCAATTTCTCAGAGCAGTTCTCAATAGATGAGAGACAACCTTCCTTCCACGCCTAAATTTTTTCCTCCATGCTGGCCCTGAATTGTACCATCTCGCTTACCAACGCATCCATCTTCTTTGTTGCTATTCATGGATCTAGGTTTCAAACCGTGAAAACAACAAAAAATCAACAAATTTAGTCTTCAAACGGCGACAATCAGCAATACGGGAAGAAAACATGCAGCATAAATCAATGATGAGGACTTAAATTTTTGCCCATGACACCGCTCTAATACCAACTTAATAGGAAGTTGATGCACTTATCACAAAAATCAGTGGATAAAACATAAAATTTGGAAGAAGAATGTCCCAAAATAATTTTTATTTAAAGAAGTATAAAGAGAAATGCAATATACAGTTGGATCTTCAATTGAAGAGGAAGATTCGGCTCTCCCAAATCTCTAGCCACCGACTAGTGCCCAAATAGCCTAAGAATAAATTAAATTCAGCAAACTCCAAAACATAATCCTAAAATCACCCTATTGTTAGCCTTAAATAAGCTCCCATAATTCCCTCATAAATTAGCTATCTTTCCCATAATAATTACCCCTCATATTTGAATTCAAATCAAATCTCTTGTCCTAAATAATTCCCTCCTAATTATAATAAAAAAATTTCTAAACAATTCCCCCTTGATTCCTCCTCCCTTTCCCTAAATAATTCCGTCTTAGATTTTTTAATTCAAATTAGATCTCTTTCCCTAAATAATTCCATCGCAATTGTAATTAAAACTTTTCTAAATAATTCTCCTTTGATTAAGAACCTTTCTAAACAGCATTAAGAACCTTTCTAAACAAGTTTTGAAAAACTTAAGGTTCAAATGATTGGCTTCAATGGAATTTGTGGAGAGCATTAATTTGAAGCCCTAAAAAGCTACCTCTGAGGCAAGTTTTAAAGCAATGTGATGAAGCTCTGCTGGCTTAGTTCTTGAACTGATGGACCATTATTTGATAGAAGAACTCAGATGCATGGCATTGAGTCATTGAGGTCATTCTCCATTCAAAACTCAATATTGATTCTTTATGAGAGTAAGCGTTTTGTACCTCCTGATGGATAAGAAAAAAGAAGCCTTGCTTGTGCAGCTTGAACTTGGTTTCTATAGATCTGAGCAACTGCGGTCATTTCAGTGGATAATATAACTATACTGCCTGTGAGAATTTCCTAAAAGTTGCGCAGCTTACTCTATCCTGCTTCCATCCTATCATTTTATGAAATCTTGCACTTGCATCATTTAATTGTATGGAAAAGTATTATTGTTTTTTAAGAGATTATAACCATTTACTTGTATAATAGCACTTCTGAAGGATGGACATTGTTTAGCCTAAATTGTAATTTCATCTGTTGAAGTTTATATAAATATTATCTTTTTGATTTATTTTCTTTGTTTTAGTTATCATCATTTACCCTTGGCATCTTAAATACTACATTTTATGCATTTTTTTTTTTTGGTATCTTTTTCTTCATTTTAAGACCCTGATGAATGTCTTTGTATGTCTTTGACAAGTCTAATAAAAATAATCTTTTGCTTTCAGGTGCTACCTTATGATCAACTAATGCAAGAACTTGATGTTTCAAATGTGAGGGAGCTGGAAGACTTTCTTATTAACGAGTGCATGTATTCGGTATTACTTTTTATTTATTTTTATATATTTTCTCATGTTTTATAATGTAGTTCATCATTTTGTTTTCTTAAATTTTCATTTGTTATTAATGTGAAGGATGCCCCAGAATTTTCCATAAAAGATCTATCATATCTTCATATCTATGTTAGAAAATGTACTAACTGCATTTTGATATTGTTCATGAAGATTGAAAGCATTTTTTTTTTAAATTTTGATTGCTTTTTAGACTCTTGGGAGTCCTTGGACTTTTATTGTGAACATTTTGTTTGATTTTACATATCTATCATGGATATATGTTTAGAAATATGGTTCTTAATATAATAATAATAATAATAATAAATCTTATTAGCCCTTTCACTTGCTGTTGGCATGCATGCTCCTATCATGCCTTTTGCATTTATATTAATTCATGAAAAATGGTCAAAATGATCAACAACAACAACAACAACATCAAGCTTTTATCCCAGTATGTGAGGTCGGCTACATGAATCTTTTTTCTCAAAATCGGAGCGGTATCCAACTGGGGTCGAATTGAATGATGTAATAAATATTAAAAATATTTAAATAATAATTATATTGAAATTGATCTTAATTTTTTTTTATTTTTTTTAAGATAATTATAATACAAAAATAATAATAAATTTAAGAACTTTAAAAATTATTATAATCATTTTTTTATCTAAATATTATGTACTAAATTTTTAAAAAAATTCTCATGAAAGCAATTCACCATTCACACATTCTAGAATTTTCTATGAGTTGTTTAATCCCACATCAATTGGGAGGTTTGTATTGTGTTATTTATATGGGGTAGTGGAACTATGTGAGTATGATTTACTAGTGTTTTTTTTTGCATATTATTAAATGAAATATGTTAAATTTAAATTAATTTAAAATTTTAAAAAATATTTTATATTAAATTAAATTATTTAAATATATTATAAATGGAACCTGATCGGGACCGATACAATGGTTGGCCAGTTGAACTGGCCGGTTCTGTCTGATTTTCAAAACCATGGTTTTAGTCCAAGACTATCTATAGTATCCAATTTTTTCCTCCAACTCCTCAAATATAATCCAAAATAATTCATTAACTACTGAAATATGATCTAAAATAATTCAATAGAGTTACTTTTTTGAATGATATTGGAGGAGCAAAGGACTAAATTGGATTATGAAAGAAGACTAAATGGCCAAATACAAATATTTAGGGATCATTTTGGTATTTCTCTCTTAAAACACATTCAATTTTCATTGTATTTAATTTGATTTTTGTTCAAGTTCTATTTTAGCTTTTTGTTTCTTTTGGTTATATTTTGAGGCAAGTATTTTAAATAAATTTAATATAGCATTAACAGATAAGAAGATTTCACATCTAATGTTTCCAATTGTTTTGTTTCAGTTGTTTCTGTTGAAGGCTTTACATATTTTTCAGCAGCGATAACGCAATTTGTGTTATGGACAATTTCACTAGCCTTCTTACCATATTGCAAATGCTTCTGACCTTTGAAGTCTAGTACAGCCATAGAATTTTACGGCATGGGAAGGGTGCACGTTGAGCTGCGGAATGACATTGAACAACACTTTGTTAAAATATTTGAACTTGATTTCAATGGTCTCACACCCGTGTTAAGGCGTCAAGTTGCAATATTCACAAACTACTATGTTGCTCCTCCCAGTATTCTGCTTTGTTCATGTCATGCATTATCAGCTGTTCCCTTGCGGGTACTTTCTGGCATATTGAGAGCATGCTGATATGTTATTATAACAATCGAAGCTAGGTTTCCATCACCATGATTCGGTCATTTTATGATGATTTAGGCTATCCCAACTTGAACACCGACCCAAACATCCCACCCCCATCTCTTTCTAGCATCCCCACTTTGGCAATCCCTTGTATTCTACTGTTCCAGTCATCAACAAATTCGAGACACCGAGTATCAATTCAATCTATTTAACACTTTTGTTCATCCACCTGTTGGGTAAAAGAGATCCTAGTGCTATGTTAGTGGTCTTCTTTAAGAGGATACCTTTTTGTATTCTCCCCAGCTTTATGTTATTAGTAGGCAATACTTATCCTTTATTCCCTTTAAGTAGTTAAGAGATTATCATAAAATTTATCTAGAAGTCTGTAAAATATATTAATTCAGAATTATTATTATAGGCTTAAACACAATCATTGTGTGGCTGATTCGCACAGGCTAGGGGCTGGATTGGGCGAAACCTGGCAGGGAGAAAGAAGGGGGTTCGATCCCCCTTGTCTAGGAAAGATATGATTCATTATGTAAGGAGGTGGAATCAAGGGAAAATTATTTAGGGAAAAAGTTCCAATTTTGAATTCAAATATGAGAGGGAATTAACTAAGGAAAGGGGGCTGATTTGGGAAGGAATTAATTAAAGAAATGAGGCTGATTTGGGAGGGAATTAGGAGAGCCTATTTAGGACTATATTGTTATTTTGGTATAGGGTAATTTATTTTCTGTTGTAGTTTTTTTAGTGAGTTCCCTATTGGCATCTAGGTTTGTGGAAGAGCCGATCTACCTCTCGAAAAGTAGATCAATTATATCTTGCATTGTTTTTTAAGGAGAAATTAAAAAAAAAAAAAAAACAGCCATTATATTTGTTCACCTACATTTTTCTTCTTTTTTGTTTGCTGTTTTTACTTCCAAGGCACATTAGTGGCTATGTTGTGCACCAACCCTAGATAGAATGCTCTTTACACCTGATCTTTCTCCAATATACTAAGGATGAAGGTTTTTATTGCCAATCTTATCATATACGGTGAAAAGTGTGCAAGTGTCGTTGCACTGGCATCTGATGTAGTGCTAAATAAGCAATGGTTCCTACATCATGGACGAATATGGGCAAAGAAATTAGTTCATAAAATCAGAATTAAGATAGGAACTTGGGATATAGGCTCTCTTACAGGCAATTTAATGGAATTAATTAATATTTTGATTTATAGAAAGATAAATATTATATATATTCAAAAAATTAAATGGGTTGAGGAAAAGGTATTGATAGTTTAGTTTTTAAATTATGATATTCAGATAAGAGTCATACTAAAAATGGTGTATGTGTGATTGTAAATAAGAGTTTGAAAGATAATATTACAGAAATTAATATAATTAAAGTTTTATAGATTATTATTGATGCTAAGATTAGTGTTCAAAATTAAAATTTTGGAATGAATTAAAATAATTAATACAAAGGATATCTCTTAAAAAAAGAGTTCTTATTTGAAGAGATTTAAATGAATATGTTGGTAGTGTGGTAGAATATTTTAAAAACATTCATGGTGGCTATGAGTTTGGAGCAACTAATAAAGGAGGTAGGATCATATTAGATTTTGCATAATACTAAGTTAAGTGTTCTAGAGATGAGGATGCTTAGGTGGATGAGTGGCTTTACCCTTAGAGATAGGATACAAAGTGAGCATATATTTGAAAAGGTTGGAGTAGCTCCAGTGGAAGATAAGATTAGAGAGAGTCACCTTAGATGGTTTTGTCACATTAAACGGAGGCATTCCGATGACTCGGTTAGGAAAATTGAGATATTAGATTTGGCTTATGTTAAGAAAGGTAGAGGTAGACCTAGAAAGACTTGGTTAGTAAATATTAGAAATGATGTTTTTCTATTAGATTTAAATGAGAATTTGACTTTCAACAGGACACTGACGAAAAAGGATTCATTTAGCCGACCCCACATAGTTGGACAAAGGTTTGATGTTGTTGTTGTTATTATGATTTTGTAATTGCTAATATCTTGTTTAAAAAAATAGGTGATCATCTCATCACTTATAAGAATAGACATAATAAAATTTAAATTGATTATTTTCTTATAAGAATAGTGTTCAAAATTAAAATTTTGGAATGAATTAAAATAATTAATACAAAGGATATCTCTTAAAAAAAGAATTCTTATTTGAAGAGATTTAAATGAATATGTTGGTAGTGTGGTAGAATATTTTAAAAACATTCATGGTGGCTATGAGTTTGGAGCAACTAATAAAGGAGGTAGGATCATATTAGATTTTGCATAATACTAAGTTAAATGTTGTAGAGATGAGGATGCTTAAGTGGATGAATGGCTTTACCCTTAGAGATAGGATACAAAATGAGCATATATGTTAAAGGTTGGAGTAGCTCCAGTGGAAGATAAGATTAGAGAGAGTCGCCTTAGATGGTTTGGTCACATTAAACGGAGGCCTTCTGATGACTCGGTTAGGAAAGTTGAGATATTAGATTTGACTTATGTTAAGAAAGGTAGAGGTAGACCTAGAAAGACTTGGTTAGTAAATATTAGAAATGATCTTTTTCTATTAGATTTAAATGAGAATTTGACTTTTAACATGACACAATGGCGAAAAAGGATTCATGTAGCCGACCCCACATAGTGGGACAAAGGCTTGATGTTGTTGTTGTTGTTATGATTTTGTAATTGCTAATATCTTGTTTAAAAAAATAGGTGAGCATCTCATCACTTATAAGAATAGACATAATAAAATTTAAATTGATTATTTGCTTATAAGAAAATAGATTGTTTAGATTGTAAAAATTATAAAGTCATTTCGAGTGAAATTTATGTGAGCATCTCATCACTCGTTAATTTTGGATTTTAAGATGAAGCTGTGGAATATAAAAAATAAAGTAAAATATTGCCTTAAGATTAGATGGGTTCATTTAAAGAATGGTAATGAAAATATTTTTTAGAGTAAAATTCAAGATCTCAAGATTTTGGTGGTTCATGAAGATGACAATGTTGTGTGGGAAAATTTGTGAAGTCCTTAGATTGCAAAAATTGTAAAATCATTTCAAAGGAAAATTTATGTACCAAATATTGCTTATTAGTTTTGGAATTTTAGATGAAATGGTGGAATATGAAAAATAAAGTAAAATATTGTCTTAAGATTAGATGGGGCATTTAAAAATGGTAATGAAAATATTTTTAAGAGTAAAATTCATGATCTCAAGATTGAGGTTTGTTCATGAAGATGCTAA